ACTTCCTGATATCTAACCTAAACCTTCCCTGATGCAGTTTCAGGCTGTGCCCTCTCGTCCTGTCCCTTGTTGCCTGGGAAAAGAGCCCAGCCCCCACCTGACTCCCTTCAGGCAGTTGTAGAGAGTGATAAGGTCCTCCCCAAGTCTCCTCCAGGCTAAACACCCCCAACTCCCTCAGCCTCTCCTCATAGGAGATTCCCTCTAATCCCTTCCCCAGCCTCGTTGCTCTCCTCTGGACCCGCTCCAGCACCTCTTTCTTGAAGTGAGGGACGCAGAACTGCACACAGCACTTGAGGTGAGGCCTCACCAGTGCTGAGTACAGGGGCAGATCCCACTGTCTATGTCATTGATGAAGATACTAAACAGCAATGGTCCCAGTACAGACCCCTGAGGGACCCCACTTCTCACTGATACCCATCTGGACATCCGGCTATTGGCCACTACCCTCTGTATGTGACCATCCAACCAATTCCTTATTCAAACAGTCCACCCATCAAATCCATATTGTGGGAGACTGTGTCAAAGGCCTTGCAGAAGTCCAAAAAGATGACATGCATAGCTCTTTGCTTGTGCACTGATGAAGTCAATCTATCACAGAAGGCCACTAGATTGGTCAGGCAGGACTTACCTTTGATGAAGTCATGCCAGCTGTCTCAAATCACCTTCCTGTCCTCCATGTGCCTTAGCATAGCTTCTAGGAGGATCTGTTCCATGATCTTTCCAGGCACAGAGGTGAGGCTGACAAGTCGGTAGTTCCCAGGGTCATCCATTTTATCCTTTTTAGAAATGCGTGCAAGGTTTCCCTTTTTCGAGTTGTCAGGGACTTACCTGACTGCTGTGACTTTTCAAATATCATAGAGAGTGGTTTGGCAACTACATCAGCCAATTCCCTCAGGACTCTGGGATATATCACATCACATCACATCAGGTACCATAGACTTTTGTATGTTCAGGTTCCTCAAGGAACTCAGGTCACGAACCTGATCTTCTTTTAGAGTGGGAGGGACTCTTCTCCCCTGGTCCCTGTCTTGCAGTCCATGCATTCAAAAGATATGGGAAGAAATGCTGCCAGTGAAGACTGAGACAGAAACATTGTTGAGTAACTCAGCCTTCTCCTCATCTGTTGCTACCATCTTGTCAGTCTTGCTCCTCTGGGGGCTATGCTTTCTTTGACCTTCCTTTTCTGTTTGACATACCTGTAGAAGCCCTTATAATAGTTTGGGTCCTTTGCCAAGTTCAGCTCCAGCTGTGCCTTGACCTTCCTGACCACAACCCTACAGAGACGGGCAGTGTACTTATCTTTCCAGGATATCTGCTTCCACTAATGTCCCAGCTTCCACTGCCTGTGTATTTCCTTCTTGCCCTTTAGTTTGACCAGCAGGTCTCAACTCCTCTGTGTCAGTCTCTTGCCTTGCTTTTCTGATTGCTTATGACCGGGGATGAAGAGCTCTTCTGCTCTATGGAAAATGTCCTTCAAGATCTGCCATCTCTGTTCTGCTCCCTTGTCCCTGAGGGCAATTTCCCAAGGGTTCCCCTTGACTAACTCAGTTATTTCATTCTAGGTGCTATAGTTAAACAATTTTAATTCTACTCCCTCTGTATAAAAACATCTGTCCCTGCTTTGCAAGGCTTTTCATTGTCTTTGTGTTGGTAATTTGACTGTCATACTTTATTTTTTATCTGTAATGGTCTTCATGAAGTGTTATTCAAAGTAAGGAACACAGTTGAAGATTGCTTTTTTTGAAAGAACTGAACTTGCTGTTACTGAGGCCGTTCCTTTACCTATCAAGTACGTTTTCAGATTCTGAACAGTATTCTTCATCTCTGATGAGACATTGGTAATATTAGTCCAGGTCTGGTGAAATAATTTTTGCAGCTAAGTATGTGCTGGGTTCCCACTGAGGACAAATGGAGTTTCATAGATGAAGAACATATGGAATAAGGTCTGAAGTTCCTTTTTCCTTATAATTACAAACTATCTTTGGCGTGAATTGGTTCTGCCAGGTGCTGAGCAGCTTCTGGAGATTCTGGGTCTCACAACATTCCAGAAAGTCTATTAGAGTCCCGTATTTTGGGTCCAGTAAATGCCTTCCTAGCTGGTTAGTCTATAGTGACATGGAGATTACACTGTGTATTTAAGTAGTCTCCAGCTGACTTTGATGTTTCAAAACCATGACAGATGCACATGAAGAGTAATTCTGGTAAAATTTCATGCACTTTATATGCTGACATCACTTTAGGCATCCTATTACTGTATTTGAATTGGGAGATCAAAGAGATATTTTAGTTATCTGCTAAATATGCTTAATGTTCTTAAAAAAAGCTAGATTGAATTTGATTGCAGAAAATTACATATTTCTTTGCTAAATCTTCTTTTTTCATGTTGTATTTCTTTCTCCTGATTGCTTTGTAATGTGTACTCATGTTAACTATTAACTGTTTAAATTGATTCGTAGACATTACCACAGATGAGATATGATGGAGGACTAAAGTTAGTTACCAAGGTATTCTGTTATCTCAGCTGTGAAACTCAGTGTAGGAATATGGGAGGGATTAAAAAAAATAATAGTACCAATTGTTCTTCCAGTTTTCCTGTGAGTATTGTAACAGGCTTCCATATGCACAGTGGTGAGCACTGCTTTGAAGGTTATCTACATTTTAGTTCTTCCATCACAGACAGACAACTGAATGGCTTACAATAGCTAATGGAAAGGGTCAGCTTTGGCCAAAGATTTGAGTGTGCAAAGAACACAGGACAGAAATGCTTTATATGTCTCAGCTAACAAAATCAAAATATTAAAATGTGTTCATCATATTGATGGTGTTGGGTTTCTGTCATTGGTAGGTAAGAAGTCTGATATTCAGAAAGCTGAGGTCAGTAAGCGGTGTGAGTCAACAGTTTTGATATTAAGGAGGATCTAAAAGGAAAGAAAGCATGGTTAAATGATGTCAATCCATTCATCTGTTCCTTCCAGCTGCTCAAGTCAATGGTGAATCATCTGGTCCAGAAAAGCATTGACAACTCTTTTTGCTGTCCCCCAAACAGAATTAAATTTGAGAAGATTAATAATGTATTGGTTTTTTTTTCAAAAGAGCTTTAAATAGTTGATCCTAAATGAATCTGTTTGCTTGGGTTTGGTCACTGCATTTGTTGAAGTTTATTGCAGGAAAAAAAGTGGTTCATTGGTCTAAAGATAAAAGGAAAATGAGTGGAATAAATTGTTTTCTATGAAAGAAGTGTCTGTTCCTAGAAGAAAGATCTGAAAAAATTAATCAAATTAAATAAAAGGCAAGTTAAAGTGACGTGAAGGAAACTGAAAAATATAGAAATTAATGGGATCCTGCTGTTGAATATTTTTCAAACTACAAAAACAAAGGAGAGCTTTCTTTGAAACAGCAAGAGAAAGCCCAATTGATAATAGGTTTAGAAAATATGACCTAAAAGTTGCAATTAAATGAGTTTCTGAGTCTAGAAAGAAGACTTGAGAAGATATCATAGCCTTCAAATAGGTAAAAGCTTCTGTGAGAAAATAAATAAATTGTTCACCATGTTCACTAAGGTTAAACCACGAAGCAATGGATTTAAAGTACGTCAGGAGAGCTATAGGTCAGATATAAGAAAAATAATAGATATCTGTAGATGTAGATACAATGAAATATATGAAGTCTTGCTAACTGAAGAATTTTTTAAAACAGCTCAGATAAATACATGTTAGGTATGATGCAAGTTTCTTTTTGGATAAAGAGATGAAAAGGATGTTGAGGTTCCTAGCCGCATACTGCTTAGTTAATAAAACAAAAATACACAAAAATAATTTTATAAAAGAGAGGGCAATTGAAACAAAGATTCAAAATAGCACAGGTACAAGACAAGACTTTGGTCTTGAACAGCACATCAGCTATGATACTAGACAAAATTAGTTGCTAAATGTTTAAAATAATGCTTAAAATAGTAGAGGCTTTTTCCTGTTATGCATTTTCTCTTTGTACTTTTGGAGCATTTTACATTGAGTATTTTGAGAGACAGGATATTAATCTATATGAACTGAACTAATTAAATTTGGTGACTCCTGTCTTTCTATGGTAAAAAAATGCAGCAGGAGGACTATATCAATGTATTTTTCCAACTGTCATACAACCTTCTGTTGCTCTAACTAATAACACACTCAAGACTATGTTGATCTGTGCTTTGATTTTCTCTAACCTTTTAATCTTATTGAATTCCCTGGGGAGATCTTTGCTCCTTTGTCTGCAGGCTTAAATATTTTTTCCTCCTGAAACCACATGTTTTCTGAGGTAGTATGATGAGAAGAGGCAGCATTTCACTGGTACAAAATGGTTTTTGCCATTTTTTTCTGAAGGAGTGCAGTTAGTGCTTCTTTAAAAAGGTTCTCTGCCATCACTTACAGAGGAGAGGATGTTTATAAGTAGTTATATTTGGCTGGTGAAGTACCCACTGACTGGAAAAGGGGAAACAACCCCCCCATTTTAAAAAAAAAAAAAAAAAGGAAGACCCAGGCAACCACTGTCCAGTCAGTCTCACCTCTGTGCCTGGTAAGGTCATAGAGCAGATCCTTCTGAAGGCTCTGCTATGGCACATGGAAAAAAGTGGAGGCGATTGGTGGCACCCAACATGGCTTCACCAAGGGAAAATCCTGCCCAACAAATCTGGTGGCTTTTTATGATGGAGTAACAGAATCAATTGACAAGGGAAGAGCAACTATGTCATCTGCCTGGACTTGTGCAAGGCCTTTGACACTGTCCCACATGACATCCTGGTCTCCAAGTTGGAAAGACACGGATTTGATTAATGGACCATTAGGTGGATAAGGAACTGGCTGGAAGATTGCACTCAAAGAGTTGCAGTCAATGGCTCAGTGTCCAAGTGGAGACCAGTGACAAGTGGTGTCCCTAAGGGATCAGTACTTGGACTGGTACTATTTAGCATCTTTGTTGGCAACATGGACATTGAGTGCACCCTCAGCAAGTTTGCCAACGGCACAAAGTTGTGTGGTGCAGTCAACATGCTGGAGGGAAGGGATGCCATCAAGGGGGTCCTTGACAAGCTTGAGAGGTGGGCGCAGACCAACCTCATGAAGTTGAACAAGGCCAAGTGTAAGGTCCTGCACCTGGGTCAAGGCAATCCCAAGCACAGATACAGGCTGGGCAATGAGTGGATTGAGAGCAGTCCCAGGGAGAAGGATTTGGGCGTGTTGGTGGATGATAAGATCAACATGAGCCAACAACATGCTCTTCCAGCCCAGAAAGCCACCCGTGTCCTGGGATGCCTCAGAGGTGTGTGACCAGAAGGTCAAGGGAGGTGATTCTGCCCCTCTACTCTGCCCTTGTGGGACCCCACCTGGAATGCGGCATCCAGCTCTGGAACCCCAACACGTGAAAGACGTGGAGCTGTTGGAGTGAGTCCAGAGGAGGGCTGCCAAGATGATCAGAAGGCTGGAACACCTCTCCTGTGAGGACAAGCTGAGAGTTAGGCTTGTTCAGCCTGGAAAAGAGAAGGCTTGGGGAGACCTTATAGCAACCATCCAATACCTGAAGGGGACCTACGGAAAGGCTGGGGAGGGACTTTGTACAAGGGCCTGTAGTGATAGGATGAGGGGTAGTGAGTGGAAGCTGGAAGAGTGTAGGCTTGGACTAGATATAAGGAAGAAGTTCTTTACCCTGAGGGTGGTGAGGCACTGGAACAGGTTACCCAGGGAGGTTGTGGGTGCACCATCCCCGCAATTGTTCAAGTCCAGGTTGGATAGAGCCTTGAGCAACTTGATCTAGTGGGAGATGTCCCTGCCATGGCAGGGGAGTTGGAACTGGATAATCTTTGAGGTCCCTTCCAAGCCAAATCATTCTATGATTCTGTGATCTTATAACTCAGGTAACAATCTGCATACATTAATTTAAAATAGTGTTTCAACAGTAGCAACATTTTTTTGATATTTTTTTTCCATATAAAGAAATCTGATTAACTGATTTTTTTCCTTGATCTTCCCTCTTTAGCTTTGGCTAGGATTATTAACTTCCAATAACTGGGAATTTCTGAGATACTCAGTTATCTTGTGCAATTCCACTTTGTCTCCTCAGGACATTATGTGTACAGTCTAAGGAACGCTGTGAGTCTGTGCTTGGGATTGTAGGTCTGCAGTGGCCAGAAGATACTGACTGCACTCAATTTCCAGATGAGAACTCAGACAACCAAACTTGTCTAACACCAGATGAAGATGTAGAAGGTACTTTTACAAACATATCTAACAAGAAAGTAAAGATTTTATTAGGTTGCCAAAGACATTTATTTTTCTTGGAAATTATTCCAAACTGGGTTTCAGGGAATTTGGATACCTACAGTTTGTAGATTAGAGGAAGTTCTCATGAGAAATCTGTTTGAAGGAAGGATCAATTACTTTCAATCTGTGAAAATCAGTGTCTGAGATTTGTTGCTAACACCACACCTACTGCTTGCTTGTGTTTATACTTCAATTTCTTACCTATTTAGATGATACAATAATGCTTTTCTAACCAAGAGGCAAGACTCGTGGCAATCTTAAAAGAGCTGAGTCCCATGACAGCTCTGAAAAATACTGTAATTGTAGTGTCTTTGCCAGCTGTTGTTTGCTCTTGGTTTTTATTTGGGGAAGGTATTTTAGAGAGTTGTGCTAAACTAGCTTCAGTAGCAACTGACAAGTTTTAGTTTTTGAATTCAGCCATAATAGTAATTGTAGTGGGTGTGAACAAAAGCAATTGCCTTCAGTGCTTCTAGATATTCTTTATATGTGTGAAGAGAGAATCTGAGCAGCTTTTCCTTCTGCAGTGGCAATCAGATGTGAGATCTGTGGAGATTCTGACAGACCTTTTCATTTTCTTACCAAAATGCCAATGAAATAGCTGCGGAAATAGTGAGATGGTGTGTGCTACAGTGCCTGCAATGTCATGTTCAGTTCACACTCTTCTCTGCCTACTCACCTACATGATGATGTCAGTCTTTCCACAACCTTGATCTTGCTCAGAGAAAGCAATGGGCAAAAGCTAGTTAAGTCTATAGTTCTTTTAGTGACGATGTCTTGCTGTGAATATAGCGAAAGAATCACAAAAAATCAGTGAGGCACATATAGCTGGCACGTAGTATTATTTCTTCAAGCAAAGTCCATGTGCACAAGTACCACTGGGAGGATTTTGTAAAAACATGTAACATGTAGTAATCAAATCCTCTACTGTGAGACTCTTTGAGAGATAAGGAGATAGTTTCCCTCTGCAGCAGCAGGCTGATGGAAAGGAATTGTCTGTTAGTACACAGCAGTGTATAGGAGAAGAAGAGTAAGATTTTGGCACAACAAGGTGAGTTATAGAAAAATAACATAATGTTATTTTCTCAGGTGTCAAGTGTCTTCTAACCTTCCTCCCTGTGTTATTAGATCATTTGGCTTTGAAATGTAACAGAACGGTTATACTTTAAATATACTACTGCATACAGGGCTAGCCTGTTCTGTTTCTAGAGATAAATTCTTGTAAAATCAGTGAAAAAGAAGGGGGGTTTAAAATGCTTTTAAAAAAAGTGTCTTGTCAGAGTTGTTTTGGGTTCATTTATTGCTAGAATTTTATGTTGATTCAATGCCAGTTTTCTACTGATATTTCTAATGTTGGTTAGAAAGTCTTCCCTGGGAAGTTTAAAACCTCTTATAAATATTTCTGAAAAAAACTCTACACATGTAACAAAACAAACTAAGGTTCAGAGATCATTTAAAATGTTTATGATTACAAGATATAGTAGGTGATTTTCCAACTTAAGCTATAATTGGCAGAGTTATTACAATGTGCTGAATTGCTTCTCTTCCAGAGAGTGCTGAATCCAAGAATGCTGCTGGCCAAGTCAGTATGCATTACAAACTTAGTTCTTTTCATAATGAGTTATTCTTAAACATTGGCAGTATAGTTCACATACCTTTTATAGTTAGAATGTTATTTTTTAAGGCTCCCGAGTCGATATTTTTGTACAACTGTTTATTGAATCCTAAAATTTGCCCAAGCAACTACACGGTATTAAATATCTGAGAGATTTTACAGGGAGGAATAACAAGAAGCAAAGTATGATGGAGGTTTTACATCAAAGTCAGTGATGTGTACGATGTGAAAAAATGGGTGGTTTTTTCCAAACTATCTAAATAAAGCTTTCTCAAAATAGTACTCTGTAATATGAGGCAGAAGCAATGTAAGCGTTAGTTAGTGGATATTTATAGGTGGTTTTCTAATAAGCACACAATCAGCAAAATACATTTTGTGTATAGCACTGTATGCCAGTTATTTGGCAAAGCTTTAAAATTTGTCAGAGGGTAGCATGTGAGGGACAGGTCTGGAAAATATTGCTCCACCCCATTCACAGTGCAGTTGTTAAAACGGGTCTTGGCTGCTGCATAGTTCTAGTTTAGTATCACCCAAGCTTTCTATTCCTGGCATTTACGCTTCGGAAACAGTCACAGTGATAAATACGTAAGTGGCCATGTGAGAATTGAGTTTGTGGCTTATGGAGTCATGTTTCTCTCTGTTCCTTGTCATTGGCAGAATGCTCACCCAGTCACTTCAAGTGCCGGTCTGGGAGGTGTGTCCTGGCATCCAGAAGATGTGATGGTCAAGCTGATTGTGAGGATGATAGTGATGAGGACAGCTGTGGTAAACAAATTTGATGAGTTGGATCTTTTGAATGGAGAGTAGTTGAAGCATTAGAAAATGAATTTTGTTGTTCCTTCAGTTATTTGAATGATAGCATGACAGTACAGAGGATAAGCCCCCTTTTCTGCAACAAAAATATATTTGAAAACTGTTTTTTTAAGGCTAGTGACACTAAAATAACTTAGGAAGCATCTTCCTTGATTAACATCAATACAATTTATGATATTTGATCATTTTGATTCTACTAACCATATTCCAGGATAGTTGAGTGTTCTTCTAGTAATTAAGATTAAAAATACCACAGATTTAATTTGATATTGCTGGAGGTTCTAATGAGCTGAAATGTGACTTCCTGTAGTTTAAATCTTGAATTCATAAATATAGTTTTAAATTTGTACATGGTAATGTTATCATTGTGATGTATTGACAAAAGATGTGTGTTGCTGAAGTCAATTTTTTACTGCAAGTGTCAAGAATTTCAAGTTTTTTTAAGGTAGGTCAACCTCAAGCTGTAGGTACAAGGATAAAGTGGTAACCACAAAGTCTGTTCTCCAGTATATTTCTTAGCTTACTTATGGTAGAGATGCTCTTGACTTTTAACTTAAGGGGCATGTATTGAGCTTGAGAACCAACAAATATCTTGGTCACTATTTATCCTCGTATGTGCTAGCAGGAGGAGAATTTTGATAAAGAGAAGGGAGTTTATACTATTTCTTTATGTGACTAAAATGTAGCCTCCATGGAGTTCTGCATGCTGGCCTGGCATCCCTTGGGACAAAGAGAACAATTCTACATCACTAAGGATTTAGAGAAGAGGTGTGAATATGAGCAAAGGGTTGGAAAGCATTCCAGCAGAGTAGGGCTAAAGCACACAACTTGGCATTTTTTAACAGAGAGCAGGTTAAGATGGAAGCAGAGCAACATAACTGTGGCAAAAACCTTTCTGCTCAGCTGCACGAAAATGAAATAAGATCCAATATCTGAAAGCTAGGCTAAAATTCAAGCTTGTCAGCTCTATAAAATGTTTCTTTATTAAGTGCTGATTGTTTTACTGAGTGTAGTAACCAGGGAGTTGTTTATCACTAAGGCACAATGTATTCTCAGCCTCTGGAAATTTTAAAATCAGTCTTGTATTCTTTATCCTCTTTCTGTCCCATTCCCCTCCCGCCTGCAAAAAGGAAGCAAAAATAAAAAGCTATGCTCACTGAAACAGGATTTAATACTAGGTCATTCTCTTGTTTGGATTATGAAGGAAAGGCAGAGCTGATGATTACAGTGACTTTTTCAGACTTTGTCATCTCTTTACCTTTGAATCAGTTGTCACAATTGTCCTCTCTGCCAAATATTCTTTGTTGCCACTGGTTCTTAACTCCTTAGAACACTAATTGCTATGCGTCTTCTAGGATAATTTTATTCTCCTAGACATTAACATGTGAAATATTGGTCCAATATATAACATTCATTTATCAAATGGATCTCTCTGTGTCGTCTAGACAGAATGTCGCTAGCAATTAGCAGAATTCTTATCAGTTTCTATAAATATGGAAGAATGCATCTGCTAGGAGATTACTGCTGTCGGAGTGACATTACATTGACCAGGGGTAATACTGTTACTGAAGAACAGAAAGTCCTTGTAGAGCTCCAGGAGTAACTCGTGACTCATTCATATTCCGTGTGTGCAGGACAAAATCAAAACTTGATGATCTTTCCATGTGTAAATGGCTAGCTCACAGTTTATTAGATTTATCATTTGAAATTGATTTTATGCCATTAAATAACAGGCAACATTTAAATTAAAAACCTTGTATCTGAAGTGCCTTAAATGACAGGCATAGAACAACTTCTCAGTGCCAGGAGAAGGCTGGAAAAGACTAGCTACAGCTTTTGTGTGCTTAAGCTACTCTGGCCAACAGTCCTAAGGGACTAAGGTATACTCTGCCCATGCAGAGTAGAGCTGTATTTAGCACCTAGTGTCTCCTCCTGTTGGGAATCCCTGTCATATTTTCACATGATCTTTGTGAGAGGAAATCTCACACATAAAATTGCAGCAAAATCCTAAGATTTAGTGCCGATTAGACTAGGATCTGGGAGAAAATTTGACCCACATTTCTGAATGTGAGACTTCTGGGTGCATCTCAGCAAAGGGTGAGGAAGATAATTTCTGAAACTTATTATTCTGATAGATGTGAAGAGAGTTAGTGGTATTAAGTGTGCCCAATTGTAACTGGTCATATTAATTTACTAGCTGCTGAGCAATGTGTCTGGCAGAGAGCAGAAGAGGTTGCTAGAAGGATATTAAAGAAATTGAGGACATAACATTCCAACCCAGTGTTGTCCTTCACTGTTTTCTACAGCCTGACTGTAGTGTTTTAATTGAGAGAAAAATTTGGAGGTCCTAATATTAATGACTTAATAGTAATTGCATAGGGAATATGTCTATGAATTACAAATGGTAACTTGCTTCATATTTTGAAGAAGAATGATGGTAAGGTCATCTGTGAATCCCTGTCTCTTGCCAAAACATATGTTTGAGATGGTAGTAATGTAAATATGGACAAGTTTTCCTACCTCAATTTTCACTTCCATTTCATTGTCATTGAATTAAAAATGTATGTCACAAAAATATTTAGAGGAAAACTATAAGTACACCAAACAATAGATGGCTTCTACCAACCAAACAGTGTATTTAAACACTGAATTCAATAAGTAGTGATTTTTAGCTAGGGAATTGTCTCTGTATTTGTCTATATTGTACTCAAAGATAAATTTTGGAGAGTAATGGTACGCTTCACAGTGTAACACTCTAATGTGTGATGAAGGGAAAAAGCAAATATGTATTTAATTAATTGCAAACTGCTAAAAATAGCAAGGTTCATAAATTATATGTTTTAAGCTTTTTAATTTTATTTTCATATCAATTTACTAACATAACTGACATTCTTTGTTCTTTTAGAGTAAACGTTTTTGTTTGATTTCAATTAATTTTTCATTAATAATAATCACAGATATGCAAGGAACAGATCGGGAAAATGGTGATACCCAAGAAAGTTCTTTTATCCCATGGAATTAGATTCACAGGTTCAAGGCCTATTTGTCTTTCTGTGCTGTAATATTTATTTACATAGCCTTTTGAATTTAATCAAAATCAAGCACACCACACGTCCGGTTATGGTTAAAACATGAGTAGATTTTTCCAGTAATCATATGAGCTAGTAGTGATTCTCTGGTTCATGTTTGTAAGATACTTACTTCTAAAATAACATTTCTTGGAAGCAACATATCTACTTAGTATTTTGATGCCAATAGGCTGATGTATTTCCAGGTTCAGGCAACCAGAGGTGCTGTTTCAAATGTGATTTGGGAGTTTATACCTCAGCTATTTGTGTGTGGGGACATCAGGGCTGTCACCTGAATTTGAGCTTGGATTAAAACGAAAACTGGTAGTATAATCTATAGAACAGGCCAAACAAGGCAATCAAACCAGCTTTTTCAGTCCGGAGAACACAATTGTTTTTATGGCTTCCTGTAAAACCAGGATGTCAGATGTGCAGGACATTGATATGTCAAAGTATTTAAACTGGTATCACCGTGAAGTGATTTATTAGTTGATGGAAATGAATAGTGAAATAAAAGAAGATAAAACACTTTTCTTAAATGTACCCTATTCCATTCTTAATTTCCTCTAGACGACTAACAGGAATTTTACTGTCAAAGCACTTTGACATGGTTTTATAAGTGTTCCTCTTGAAATCAGAGAGGCTGGTTAGCAGAACTTGGAAGAGACAATAATGCAGTGTGTGCCCTGCATTTCTAATCTTTACAAACTGGTTTGGTCTCAGAGTACAGAACCAGGAAGACTCTTTGTGGTCAGCACTTCAAGCCATCTCTCTACCTTTCATTGTGATCTGTATTAGATTCTATATCAGCACTGCCAGAAAAAGTTAGGTATTTCATGGAGATTCCATGCTGTCATAGTCTTTGCTTTTGAAAGACTGCATGGTATGCTTTTAAAAGAAACTCTACGAAATTCAGGGTTAGAAAAGTTTATGTATCAAGAGTGTATTTCGAGAGTAGTGGTGTATTGGTTTTGATCTAATTGAGCTGATGCCTAAACCATTACTAATAGATATAGGTAGAAAAATATAGGTTATTATTTAAAAAGCACTGAAGTATTAGGAAGTGTTATATATTTTATGCCCATTTATCGATTGCACACTGTGACAATCTTATTTCCATTTCTTTGTTAGTAACTACTCTTGGTACCTTTTAAAATGTATATTGCAAGTAAAGATATTTGGGGTGTTTTAGGATTATTAAGGAAGAGGAAAACAGTTGATTGATGTTGCATGCAGGTGTTTCAAAAGTGTGTTTCTCTGCCTCCAGGTTGTAGAGAAAGGGGTCTTTGGGAGTGTCCTTTGAAGAAGCAATGCATCAAACACGCCATGATCTGTGATGGTTTCCCAGACTGCCCTGACATGATGGATGAGAAGAATTGCTGTAAGTGCTTATAAAGTTTGCTAGTTCCCTAAGGGGCTGATCACATTTTTGGGATATTGGGGTGCAAAACAAATGAAATTAAAAAGATTTTCTACAGACAGAAAGGCTTAGTCATTCTCTCGGTTTCCTCTTCAGTTTTTATATAGCACAAGTTTATCTCCTTCCTCATCTTGTGTCCTGTGTTGTTCACATCCTTGGATCCTTGCTATCTCCTTGGCCACTTAGGTCCTCCCTCTTCCTCTCTCTCTCCCTCCTCCTTGTTGTGTCTTTGTGCTTTTTTTGCTTCTTGATTCCTTCCAACTTTTCTCAACTTCATTCCATGTAAGTATAGCTGTTCACTGCTTCTTTCCTTAATTTCCACTTGATTCTCCTGATCTGTCCTTCATAAAATTTCATATGTCTGCCTGCCTTGTTTGATTTCTCTTCTGCTTAATACTTCCTAGATTCTGTCTGCCCACTTGGCTTCACAGTCGTTTTCTACAGTCCGAACTGTGATAAGTATCAGGGATCCGAAACTTGGTGTGGTACGCTCCTGGTATGGGCATACTGCCCATGTGCACAGTGTAAATTGGCTCAAAGTGCTGGCAGTATGCAGTAGGCCCCCTGGTCCCCTGCAGGAGCTGCCCCGTGTTCTGTTCCACTACACAGCTGACTAGTAAGATGAGAAGAGGTGGAAGATCTGCAGACAGCAACTGTTTAGCAGGCTCCCACACTGATGTGAAGTTGGGAGTGGGTGCCATGAGATGTTAGCTTCGCTTTCCTGAATGCTGGTACTCTGAATTCTCTTCTTTTGAGAAAACCTGGTATGTGGGCATGTCCCTAAGACAAGGAACTAAAAAGGACGTGCTGGGTGACACTCAGCCTCCACAAGAAGACAGATGCTTGATAAACTTAGTGAAAGCTCAAATTTTAGTTCTCTGGGTAATCCTGGTATTTCAGCATTTTTGCTGGAATTGTAGGATATAATTTTACAGTTCAAAAAAAGTTTCTCCTGAGGCTCTGGAGTTCTGTTGGAAGGAATAGGATGGTAGGTACATTTTATGTGCTGTGTGGAGCACATGAATGTATTTGCCAAAATGATTGACACGCTGCATATATAACTAGATCTAACTTTATTTTTGGAAGAGGCAAGTCACAGAATGTTTAATCTGCTTTTAATTGTTGAAGGTTATACCATTCGACTTCCAAGCAGTCTGTATGCTGTAATGTAACAAAAAAAGGAAGATGTTATTAAAGTGATTTGCTCATGATCACACATTAAGATCATGGCTGAGAAAAGATTCTCTGAGGGCTTAGGTTAAGCTAGTCTATAATTATTAACTGTGTTTCCTCTCTACTTTTGTGTTGGGGCTTAAATATTCTAAAATGGCAGTGAAGTTTCCCTGGCTGAGGGCTGCTGGCTTTTGAAATATGCTCTCTCTGGACGGCAGAATTAGAAAGCTTTTTCTAGTTTCGCATACTTTATTCCAGAGCCAGAAAGATCACTTACGTCAGAGTGGGTGGCACTGCCTGCTCTATTTGTATGGTTTTTACAGTTGAGTACATTTTTTGCACTAGTGTTGCAAATAAATGCTTGGTTTGTATGGCAGTATAGATGCCATATGACAGCCAGACATAGGCAGAACTGAATGCAGCTTCCGTCCACATAGTCTCCTTTTCCGCCCTTCCCCAGCTCTCAAAATTCCCTAACGTGGGGTTTATTGAAGCTGGAAGAGAGGTGTGTTAGTGAGGAGGGTACAGTAACGCTACACATCTGTCTTTTGAGAAGGGATTTTTCATAGTTGGGGGAAAGCTAAAAGTCACTTGCAAATACAAGCTCTTGTGGTTCCTGCACTGGACAGATATTCAGAAATCCCTATCTAATGCTTTCAGCTGGCAGCCTGTAAGTTGGAGCATGTCTATCAGTTACCCATCTCTAAAGCAGAGATGAAAATAATTTCATTATTTTAAATAGCAAAGGAGGATATGAAAGTGGACATAGAATTGCTCTGAATGAAAGGAAATGCATATGCATTTTCAAAGAACATGAAGAAATAAACAGATTTGGAGCAGTCTCCTGAAAAGCATGGAACACATTTTTTTTCATTGAATGCTTCTAAGAGGCTTAGACAGGTTTTGTCACAGATCTTGCCATGACCCTTCCTTCCCTTTGAGTTGTAGTGCCCTCTGCCAGTGCCTGGCAGCAACCACTTTCTGTCTTAGTGATGTCCATCCTGACATCCATGTGTGTCACTTTCTTGGTCTGTAAATCTCACCTTCATCCTACTTCTCATTTTTTCAGTCTCAATGTGAACTTCGCTCTGATCATTTCTTTCTCAGAGTGAAACATGTTTTTGGCCCTTGCAGCATTTTGTGAAGAGAGTGAACTTGAATGTGCCAATCACGAATGTGTGCCACGTGAGCTCTGGTGTGATGGGCAAGCAGACTGCAGCGACAGCTCAGATGAGTGGGACTGTGGTAAGTTCCCACTGTGGTGCACCCTGCCAGGAAGGGAGTTTGGATGATGGTAGTAATCACTGGTGATTCCATTTCGAATACAGTTGCGGTGGAGAGATGCTCCCTTTATTTTTAACAAAGGGAGACTGGGTTGAGGTTGGGAAGACGTGCAGGAAGGTGGGCAAGAGAGATGGGAAAGGCTCACTGTCAAGTGTCACAGTGCAAAGCTGTACGAAAAGTGACATGGCAGGGAACTTCTAAAATGTGTAAATGATGTCTAAAATCATTTAGAAATGGTGTGCATAGAAGAGAGAGTACGAAGACATTCAGATGTAGAATTGATTTGGGCAAAACTTCTAGGCTCTGATTCTGTTCTTGTGACAGTCAGTGTGAAATTCCCACTGACTGCAATGGTGCAGGTTCAGAGCTTATGAACAGAAGATAGTCCTACTACATCCCTTTTGCACTGGCCAAAGACCTACAGAATGATGTAACCTGCTATTGCTATTTATATTCAGCTTAGGCCTTCTGCTTTTATGTGTTGTTAAAGTTGAGCTCTCCAAGTATTCGGTCTTCAAATAAAAATGAAGGTGGCTTTCAAAAAAATTGTGCTGACAAGCAGCAGTTTGGAAAGTGGTAGTATGTCATCTGAAATTTCACTGAAATAATGTGTTGCTGTACATGATGGTAGTTTGTATTACTAAGTTTTGAGATGGCTTGTATGTAATTTTATATACAGAAGAAATGTGCACTGTGGCTTACAGAGTGTTTTGCATTGATATTGAAGTAGATTTTATAAATATTTTGAAACATTGAAAATTGTGTGAACATTAATAAACAACAGCATTTAATAAAACCTATGCATCAGAGAAGAATGGTTTTAGAAACGCGTATTTGAAAAGGAGTAATCTGGGATTAATACGTACCTTTCTTAGGAGGAGAGAGGCTTCTGCACCTTCAGCAGATAGGAAGAATTCGTAATGACTGGCTATGTTAAGATTAGTGCTATTAAAGCCAAAGTCACAAGGAACAGTTCAACTAAAACCAGTATTTGTTTGGGGAAGAAATGCACATAACCCAACACCTTCTAAGGGATCCTAGAAAGGGAAGGATATAAATTTCCATTCTGGGGCATTTTGAGAGGTTTTTTATGTGTGATAAAAGCAGTTCACATGGTTCTATACATGGATTAAGAGAGAAGCAATGGTCATGATCTTTCTTGTAAACAGTAGTTGTTTTTTCTTTCTCTAATTACACCTACATATTGCTATGACAGTGCATATTACTGAGAGTCAAATGATGGTATCACTCATACATCAATCAGCATTCATCCCACAAATTACTTAGTGATTTCAGTTGGACTGTTTGTGGGGTAATATATCATTTAACAAGGTAAAGGCTATTAGAAACCCATGTGAACCTGCGCTGGTGAGTCAAGAGTATTCTGGTTTATTCTAATCCTCAAGAGGCCTTTGCTGTTTAGGGTCTCATTCTATTCAGTGTTAGCAAGGTTCTGATAGCCATGGTTGCCTTGGTTTTAAATTGCATAGCTACTGAGCATACAAAATCAGCAGAAGTGCAGCATTTTGGAAAACTCTTCTGAATGTAGTTTTATGGAATTGGTATGCCATTTATAAAACTAACTGAAGTTGTTCTTTTTCTTTGCAGTTACCCTGTCTAAAAACATGAGTTCCAAGAGGTTCCTGACCATTCACAGGTCAGCTGCTGACAACCATGTTTGTGCTGATGAGTGGCAAGAAAATTTAAGCCAACTGGCCTGCAATCAGATGGGTTTAGGGTAAGGTCAGTAGTTTGTAGCATTGATGAATTTCTTAGGACAGTTGGGAGTGCTGCAGTTGGATGTGAATGATCATTGATCACTATAATGTTAGACCTTATTTGGGAATGGTTCATTGAGTAAAGAAGTAATGAAATTTTGTGAACTATGGCAGGAACAAAAGCTCGCTAAAATCTAGGCACTTTCACCACTTTATATTACATGATTGTTATTAACAGAATGTGTTGAAAAGATAGTGATGTCTTGCCAAGCTTCAGTATTTGAACTTACAGTTGTTGCTGAGGCTCAGAATTGTTTGGTAATGTGATACTCTGTGTCTTCCTAAAGAATTAAAGCAGACTTGTCTTTGGAAACACAGGAAAATTTCACTGCATTCATTTGCATTCTAAAGTAAGTACTGTGAGCTAGCCAAGCAGGTATGTTAAACTCTGAACAATGAATTGTTGAAGAGAGAGCTTTCTGTGTGGAACGCAGAGGAAAGAAAAAAGGCCGTATGTATAATCTTTCTTACTGCATGCACGCTAAAGCAGTAGCTGCTTTATGGATTAGTTGATGCAAAGTGTAACTCTTGGATAGAAACCCAGTTCATCTGCTCTGATATTCAAAGCTGTCTTTTACTAGGAAAAGACAAGCCTGATGGAATAGAAGGATATTGTTTGTCAGTCTCTGATCTGCAAACTGAATCATAGATTCATTGGGTTGGGTTGGAAGGGGTCCAACCCCTGTCCAGTGAGCAGGGACATCTTTAACTTGAGCAGGTTGCTCAGAGCCCCATCAAGCCTGACTTTGAATGTCTCCAGCGATGGCGCCTCCACCACCTCTCTGGGCAACCTATTCCTCTGGGCAACTTGTTCCAGTGTTTCAACACCCTTAAAGAACTTCTTCCTAATGTCTAATCTAAATCTACCCTGCTTGAGTTTAAAACCATTGCCCCTTGTCCTATCACTACAAGCCCTTGTAAGCAGTCCCTTCCCAGCTTTCTTGTAGGTCCCCATCAGGTACTGGAAGGCTGATATAAGGTCCCTCTGGAGCCTTCTCTTCTCCAGGCGGAACAACCCCAAGTCTCTCAGCCCATCTTTGTAGGAGAGGTTCTCCAGCCCTCTGATCATCTTTGTGGCCCTCCTCTGGACCTACTCCAACAGATCTGTGTCCTTCTTGTGTTGGGGGCTCCAGAGCTGGACACAGTACTCCAGGTGAAGTCTCAGGAGAGGAGAGGGGTAGAATCACTGCTCTCAATCTGCTGGACATGCTTCTTTTGATTGTCTTTTCTGTCTGCCTTTTACCTCTACATATACTGACATAACATTAGTTATATGATGAAGCGGAGATTGTATGATATATAGGAGTTCCATGCCACTGTGAAATCTCATCTAAAGCTGTAAACTGTTGGCTATCATTTCCTGCATCCATTATTTATTTGACTATTTTTTTTAATTTGGTAATAAGAAGGTCTGATTATGAGGTTGATAACATTGCTGTGTTTTGTAAGGTTTTTCCAGTCACTGTTGAGGGTACAGATAAATTAAGCTGTACATTGAACAGAGCTCAAATAATGACAAAAAAATCCTTTTTATCCTTTTTTTAATAAATGCAACATATTTTAAGCAGTGGTTTTCTTCAGGTATGCACAATTCATTTCACTCCTTCAAAAACTTAAAGCTGCAAATCTAGAAATTCTGCCCATGTTGTAGCACACTGCAGAAACCCCCAGTTTTGTGGCTATGCACATTTCTTTAGTAAAGACTTACAATGACACTCGATTTTGATTTAATAATTCTCTTGTTTTGGCTTAGAGAAAAATAGTGCACATGAAATAGCAAAGTTGAGACTTCTTAATACTTTAAGCCATGACTTATAATGAATGGTAGCATATGGTATTTTTATTTTCTATAAAGCTTTAATAATTAGTTTTCATAACCACCTCTGATGCTTTCCCAAATGACACCTCCCAGTTGCTATATAATGTGGTAATGCTTAAAATGCAGAAAACTGTGCAAGTTCCAAGCATTGTCTGAAAGGCATTGGACTAATGGTGGCTGTTGCTCAAGTTATGCAATGTGTGTTCTTAGCAGTTCATATGTTTTCCTCTAGTGCAAAAATAATATTAGATATGAAATAAACTTTTGTTTATAATGCTAAGAGTTAAATGGGAACTGTTTGTTTAAGTCTTAAGTTTCACAATTTACAGCAAGAGGAGAGTATCAGATCACCTGGCTGCCTGTTCATCTCAGGGTGGATAGTTTCACTCAGAGACTTCTGATTGAGTCCCAAATTTAGGTAGACTAAAGCATGCCTCTGGGAATTAGGTTTCCTGCTAACACAGGTAGAGAATGGAGCAGCAGTCACCATCAGCGTCTCACATCAAAGCTCAGCTCTACCCTGGTGTGTGCTGTAGGGGCTCTGCTGCTCAAGATGGGTATACCATGCAGGTCCAGAACATTATTTTAGAAGGCTGTAGATTTCTCTTGATGTTTAGTCAAAGAAAACCATTTTCATATGCTCTGAAGTCCATAGTTTTTGTTGACGGAATGGTGGTCATAGAGCTGTGGCCTGCTGACGTCTGAAATTTGACAAACCAGAAGTTAGTGGAGTTCCTCTATGGCAACGGGAGTGGAATAGTCTGTGAAACAGAAAAGATATGGCTAAGCAAAGAAATACATTCTAATGATTGATTGCAAATCCTTTTCAAATTATTTTATGTAACAGCTTGTACAAACAGCATTATAACCCCCTCCTTTTTTTTTAGATTAATAGGGACCTCCAAATCAAATTTACTCAGTTTAACACTAAATAGATATTAAATCAGTCCTGAAAATTCGTTCTGCGATCTGCAAGTAGAAGTGTTTTTTCTGGGTAGCGTTATTACCAGTAGAGCTATGGCAACATTTTCTAGTGAATAGTAATTCTGTAAAGGGCAATGTTGAACAAAAATAACAGCAAATTTTGTTCAAATTCAGTGAATAGTTTCCACAGGGGAAAAAAGATTGAAAAGTCAAGTTGCAGCTTTTTAAAATGAAACACAGAAAATTTTATTTCAAAAATATTTTTCTCTGAAATGTATCCATCTTTTAAAAATTAAATGCTAATTAAATGAAAGAGTTTAATCTGAAGTTGAATTAAATTTTCCAGTTAAGAAAATACATATTGTATTTGAAGTTTTAAATTTAGATGGCCCAAAATAGTCTTTTTTACGTTTAGCTAAAAAATCATACTTCATGAATCCTACAACTCAGAGACTCAAATGACAGAGAAAAAGCAAGCATATAGTTTTTTTCAGCGTAATTACTTGCTAACTCATGCTTGATAGGGTAGAGAAGTCTATCATTTAGAAGATAAGACTTACTGTCGTTCTGAAATATCACAGTGACTACCTACTTTCCACCAAAAATTTTAAGAACTATTTAATCATACATGTTTTAGTTTTCTGTCAATGCTGTAAATCTTTTTAATTTCAATTTTCTATGTCTTCATATATTTTCACATTGAAATTTCAGATTTCTCTGATTTCAGTGCTGTTAAAATCAGTGTTTTGATCTTTTCCTCCATATTGTATGGCACAGCCATGGCTTTGTAGAATTCTGCTCGAGACCAAGAAACATCTTAACCAGTGAGTAAATACAGACAGGACACAGATGTTTTTCCAGCTCTGAAATAGACCTAATTTGTTTTATATAAGCACCCATAAACGCAATATTCATTGTCTTCTGGCATAGCACAAGGCTTCCTTTTTCAAGCTTGCTGTCATATGACACTTAAAACAATAGACTTATAGAAGCTGTACAGAAGAATGTCACTTCTAATGAAGGGAGAAGGAATCCAGTTTGTGTTTCATACTTTATTCTAAACTTGCAGTTTTAATATGTTTGAGAGACTTTTCCACAATGAAATAGGGAGAATTAAGTACTAATACCATTTCTATACAGAAGTATCCCAAATATGTTACTTCTAATGATGAACAGAATAGTAACTTCATAACCTAAAATTAGTCTCTGCCTTCTATTTTTGGTTATTTTTTTCATTATGATTTAGTATGTAAGGCATAATGTTCTTTGTGCTTCACTATGAACTATACTATAAAGTGCACTATCAACCTAGCTGTGCAGGGCGATCAGAAGGTAGCAGGCTAGGACGCTTTGAAAACTATTATGTTAATATCTCCATTGTGCAGACTGACTTAATTTAGGTCAATTTCATCAGGCTACTAAAAAAAAACTTTCGCAAAAGAGCTAATTTCAGACTCAAAGATGTAGATTGATGTTGCAGCTAGCAGCTATAGCCTTGTTGCTGGAGTCTGTAAGAAACACAGTAAAGCAACATACTCTTATGAAGAAATTATACACCATGAGTTGATGTGGCTCTGTCTATTGAAAGATCCTTCTTCCCTTTTCTTTAGTATTAGATGAAAGGAGACAAGTGGTAGCCCTTGTCCATCCGAAAGCAAACTTTGTGTAAACATCATCTATAAAAAAATTATAGAAGGCATTCTAAATCCATAAATTAGGGCATAATGTTTCTAAGCTTATTATATCAAGCTGTGACCACCAAGGAAAAAAAGGCATAGTCGTAATTTTGTGAAGTGTAATACTTTTATCAATAAAATCTTAATAATTATAAGATTTCATATGAGCTTAATTGTCTTGTAGGTTGTTGCCCTGATTTAGAAATACATATCTGCTTAATGATGATTATAGCATCACAAGCTGTAATTCAGAACTGCAAGTTTCAGCAAAATAATCTGGTATTTGTGATAATATAGATTTGGATCCATCAGATGGCATGATACTTTAACTTCTTGCATATTTCTGAGTTGCATATTTTATAGATTAGACACTGATTACAACTACATAAAATAGCACTGTACGCAGCTATGAAATGGTGAATATAAATGTTCACGGAAGATCATGAAGCAGAATGTTATCTTAAGAGAATAAGTTTGTGTATGTTTGGTGGGAAGAACGGTGGGAAATAAGCAAAAGACAGGACAGAGGAAAGTTTGATGTGTTTGCTATAAGCAGGCACTGAGGAAGAAAGCTGATTTTGCTGGAGTTTTCTCTAAAAGGTGAAAAACCATGGTCTTTAAAAAAAGCTTGTTATTGCCTGCCTGCACATTCTGCTTAGTAGATCCTGGTACGATATTTGCTTAACATGCCCAGAGAAGGTTCTGAAAAATAAGTCATGTGATGGGCAGGGTCCAGGGGTGTGACCTCAGAGCTTAGTTAATTCTGCCAGCCCTGTTGAAAACATTCCCATATATTTGCACTGACAACTTCACCGTAAAACAGATTTTTTTTGCTTTGTGTTAATTTATGCAGTTGAGTGGGTAAAGGATACTGCACTTCTGTAAATCTCTAAAAAGAAATGTAGTTTATACTGAAGATTTGACTTACAGACAAACTAATAACCTGGCTGTCATTCCTTAGTATAGTTTTAGGACACATCACAATTTTTATGAGCTTTTCTCATTCTGTTTTCCATAAACTAGGATTTAGAATTTGGCCTTTGACCAGTGTTCAGGAGAGCCGTCCTTGAAAGTCCTTGTCATTGACAGGGATTGATGGCCAATCATGGATGGTTTTTTGTGGGATAGTTGCATGACTTATAAAGCCTTTTGAAAAATACACTCTTTTTTCAATTTAGCAGTTGAAATGTACTAAACCAGCAGTTTCTTCAGTGCTTGAGTTTATCAGGGAGTAACTAAGCTGAGGAAGTGGATATATGAAAATATCTTCTGGTGAATCATTCTAATGTACTTCCATATTGGTATTAATTTGCTGCAGAAGGACAGGTTTGACATTGTGATTTGTTATATTTTGCACAGCAGACAGCTTGGACTTCAAGATACTGTCAGGTACTATTAACAAGACTCAAACTGCTCTTCACTGTTAAATTTTAAAGGATTTCCAAAACGTTTTTTTTTTCCTTTTACCTCTTCTACATATGAAGATCTGTTTTTTGCCTCTATTTTTGGAGGCAAGAAACTATAGTAATGATATATCAGTGTATGCACTACAGTAAATGCCACCAGAAGGCTCTTGCTGTTCCTCACCCAATTCTGGTTCTTGTCAGAAAATACGACATAAGTGACTGTCCTGGTCTGAGCTAACCAGAACCAATTCTGTTCAGTGATTTCACTTTTCAGCTCAGTCGCTTCTAAGAGGTTGCACTTTCTGAAATTAGCAGCGTGTTTTTGCAGACAGTGTGTGCTACTAGCAGATAACACCTGCTGTCTATAGTTACTGCCTGGGACTGGTGTGCACAGAGGCTCTTGCTGATACTTATTCCTACGGTGACCAAGGCCACTGCTGGCTCTTGTGTGCCACGCTGGGGGTGCCGGGTAGTAAGAGCGGTCACAAGGAAGTAAAAGGTTGACACCTCCAGGGAGGAGTGGACAGGACAGGTGACCAACAAAGTATTCCATTCCATGTATCTTATATTCACTATAAAACTGGGAGATCCCAGGGTTCAGCTCTCTTCTTCAATGGCTGGCGTCTGAGCAGGACTCCATCTGTTCTTCTGCCTTTGGTCCTGATCCTGAGTTCCTAAATCCAGCTCCCATATCCTGCTTCCCACTGCTGCTGAGCCTGGGGCTTCCCCAGTACCGCTTACTCTGCAGCATCAGTGGGGATAGCTACTGGCGGGGGGATGTGGAGTTTGACTCTTTATCAGATTTGTATATATTTAATTATTTTAATTATTCCCTTATCGGTACTTTCAGAGAAGTGTCTCTGCCTTATTCACTTTCCCTTTCCATTTGTAGGCGAGAGAGGGGTTAGGGAGCATGTGTCAGCGTTCAGCGGCCAGCCCAGCCTTTACCCTCTGCAGTGACATTAATATGTTTGCTGGCCCAGCTTCTTGGGGTGATTTCATTCCCTTAACTATGGTCTTGCCACATGTAACTTTGACATAACATTCAGCTGCGTATCTTTGGACTAAACAGGAGGCATTAGGGCCTCTTCACCTTCATAACTGTAACACAGAAACTTACTGGAAGGTCTATGAATGTCTTGCATTTGTTTCAGAGGACCATCAAAAACGGAAATTGTAATGGAGAGTGATCAAATGCAGCATCAAAAATGGCTGAACCTGCACTCAGACTGGAAGAATAAAAATGCATCCACTTTACATGCACTTCTGGTGAATGGGTAAGTAACAGGTGAATGAGATTTATTTCACTGCTGTACGTAGGCACTTACCAATGGAGGATGACAAGCTCTTTTTTTCCCAAGGTATCTATGTATAAATCGCAGCGCATACTGATGTGAGTTGTTAAGATGCACTCTGTAATGATTTTAGTGTCTTCCACAACTGTGGTCTCTTTTGAGTTCATCCAGGACAAAACTGGGAGAGGCACCTAACCTCCACCTGAAACTGTGTTTTTCAAAAAGCAGATTCATTGTTTGCTTGTCCTCTTTCAAATGCCTAGTTGATTTCAGAACATCACTCTTCTATATAAAATCCTTCTGTTTCACAAGGAAAGACTGTCTTGGCTAAATGCAGAAGTTCAATATGTATGAAGACACAAACCTGAGGAATAACATACCTACTTTTCTTTTGCTTGGCTCTGTTATTTTCTGTAGTGAAACTTTTCTGTAATGGCCTAATACTAAAAAGATTGTGTCTGCAAATTCCTACTTTCGCTTTCCTATATCTCAGCTTTTTACTACTTCTGTTTCACATTAATATTTTCCCCATTCATTTAAGTTCATTTTTATTTCTTCATCTGGAAGAAGGGCTATTACAGGATGGCGACTGATACTTGAAAATTTTCTTTTTAACTCTTCCTTTCTCACTGTCTCTTTCCACTTACCTAACGATATCTAAATGCTTTTCCCCATAGTAATACAAGAATAAACACTTTTGTTAATGACCAGATGCAAAGGCAGGTCCACAGTTATGTTCTGTTCAGTCACTAGAAGTGCAAAGCAGGAATTTCAAGGTACTTTGCCAAGTTTGAAAGTGGTCTGCTAGGAACTGTGTGTGAAGGGATGGATTTGGAGCCTCTGAGTTACAAGATCTAGTACAAGTTAAAGGAGAGAAAACATCTGTAATAAGGATTATTGATAAAGCTATTACAGAGATGAAGGTGCTTTGTAGGGAGATGTTCCAGTCTCCCCAAATCCAGAAAATGAGTGACAGGAAGTGAGAAGCTAAAGCCTTGCATGAAGAGCGAGGCTGGATTTGTTTGGGCGTCCTGTGTAGATGGCTCTGGCTGGCTGTGCCATGTGCTGCTGATCAGGTGCCCCCCATACTGATCTCCCTGTCCTCCCACTGGGGGACCTGCAGGCCTGGCTTGCTTTCTGGTATAAAGCAAATCGCACAGGGGACAATATGTGTTCAGTGTCTTCTCAACGTGAAGCCAAGACAAGCCCAGGAGCTCAGAAGTGCTCCCGAGGCCTGCTGTCTAGGTGTATTTGCCTGGATCAACTTCAGCATGTGAAATGCCTGTGCTGTGGAGTATGTTTTATGTTTAAAGGAGTTGTCAGGCTCCTGGACTACTGGGAACTTCAGCAAGAACTAACAAATACACCACTGGTTTCATAAAGTTTTGGTAAGAGGGAATGGCACAGTGCAGGCTATGCACACATAAAAGCCTCTTTTAGAGCTGGCTGTTGGAGAAGTCGAAGAAGTGAGTGTGAAGTGTGAGTGTTGCTGGTCTCAGTTATATTCTGAATATTTTTTTCCTCAAAATTGTGCACAGAATTTTCTTTCATGAAATTGGTTGTCTATCTCTAGAACCAGAATTTTACGGTCTGTGTTTTCAGGAAGAGAAAGTAGACTGATTTGCACACTGTATGAATGGGGCAACGTAAAGGACAGAGGTCTGGGCCAATCTACAGATTAAGCTAATCTGGTGCGCTGGCTGGCACTCTGTTGTTGTGCCCACATTAGTGTCTATGACTTAAAGTCAAATGAAGCCTCTTTTTAGGTGTTTGGAATTTTAAAGATACTGCCTGGGGAACAGCTCATCTGCGTATCCAGTTGCAATTTAACTCTGCTTCTGCCTCAGGAAAGCACATATATGATAGGAATTGGAAAGTGGCAGAAATAAAAAGGCAGGCACCTAGTTGAGCATCAGTGCTCACTGTTTTAACAAGGATCTCCCTTCCTTTGACAAAGAATCACTTCTTTCCTCTCTCATCTTAAAATTTTCAACAGACTTTTTTGTTGTTTTAATACTTACTTTTGCAAACTTCCTGGATTTTTTCAAAACACCCAGACTTTTAGGGCATGGAAGACCATCTGTTATCAAAGGTATTTGAAAGAACATTCTATCCTTCAGCTGCAAGGAAGAGGAGAATGACAATCTCTGTGCTTCAGGTGCCGTAAATTAAGACTTGACAGACTGTATATCCCAGCTAACCTCAGAGCTGGATCAGTGCCCAGAGAATGAGGTAGTCTGCAAAATATGTAGCACCCACTCTTGAAATGCATTGTAAAGCTGAACTAATATTGTGAATTATCTCCAGGCAGACTCTGGAAACTGTAGGTGATCTGGTGTAAGAAGCTTCTTGGTTTATTTTACAGTTTTGGGGGAAATTTTAAACAGCTGGTCCACAATGAGCACAATACCTGTGCTGATTTGCAAATTACCAAAAATTACATCAATTAATTGAGATTTCCACTGTGTTCTTGTTTCAATGTTTAGACAGATGTGTCGAAGTGGAAGCAAAGTGGCTCTCTCTTGCACTAAAGAAGGTAAGAAAGAAGTGCATATAAAGCAAAGTTGTTTTCCAAGATGTGTTAAATTAAAAAATGCAATGTTTAATGTGGATTCATTCTGAAATTTGACTGGACTTCTGCAACAGACAGTTTTGCACTGGATTTTTTTTTCTCTATTCAGTTTCATCAGCTTTTCTTATTTTTTGACTGTGAGGCTGTGTATGGCAGTAGCCCAGTCCTGCTCCCACAGAATGAATTTTGTCAGCAGTCAAGTTCCAAAAATAAATTTGATAAAACTTCCTGCTGACCCACCAGAGTAGTTAGCAGGCCCTCTGCGGGAGCTGAAGGTGTGATCTGTTTAGTTGTGAAGCTCAGAGGGACAGAAGACGCTGAAGTAGAAAGCTGCAGACCAAGTCTGTAGGCACAGTAGATTTTTAATGGTTTGAAAATGCAGAAATTCATCATCAGTGAAATCATGTTCTGCAGACGAGGAAAGCTTTGCTGAAAAACATTTAAATTAGGAATTATCTTGACACAGAGAAAAACAATTACATAGCATGACCTAAATTTGGAAAACTAATCAAAACACTACTTAGGAAAAAAACCCAAAACAGCTCATAGGAACCTGTCAAAAGTGTTCGCTTCTGACATACCTTGCTTTAAGTACACTTGAAACCTCTTGCCCTCTGAAGTTACATGAACACAGTAAGAATTACAAGTTAAGAATAACCATTGCTCAAATTTATTTCTTACCACTAAATTCCCATGGCTATAGGCAGTGGCAGTATATCCTCCCTTGGGAGTCTGATTGCAGAACCTGCTGGTGTTCTTTTGTTCTCTAGATCAGACTGAATCTAAACACGATAAATAATAAATCTGCCATCTTTCAAATCCAGAATATAAAGTGAATTGAAAGTGCAGGGCTCACTATTTCAGAAAAGTAACTGTCTGGTTGATGGGAATCTGGTATAATTTCCAGTGGAAGTGGCTTATAAAGCACAATGGACAGAGTACTGGAATGTGTTCAAAACTTGGAATATTCTCCCTTAGTAATTCCCCCAGGCAAAGCAAGCCTGGTGCTGTGTAGCTGAGCAAACAGCGCGACATTCACCTCACACCTGACTTAAGAAAAGTCTTATTATGGCTGAGCAGATTTTCCAGCAGCAGTTCTTACAGGCAGTACAAAGTAGAGCAAACGCATTGCTTGCTGACAGAAGCACAAGGAAATACATCCAGGAAACCTTCCCAAGGGCAGCCTGGTAACTCCTGGGAGAAAGTTGGGATCCCAGACTCAGCTTCGTTAATATTTCAGGCTAAGCTGGTCAGAATTAATGTCAGGAGAGCAAATAAAGGAAGGATGAAAACGGCTCATTGTGTTTGATATTAGTGTGTCATTACTAATGACTTAATTGACTGTATGGTTCTATATAACTTCATGACTGTTAACACCGTTCTGTGCCCAGTTTTCTGACCAAGTCTCGTAGGCACTGCCTGTGTGGTAATGACTGACTCACTTCTGCATCTGTTCCTCACTAGACTGTGGCCGTCGCCCAGCTGCTCGCATGAACAAGAGGATCCTCGGCGGCAGGACGAGTCGCCCAGGCCGATGGCCGTGGCAATGCTCCCTGCAGAGCGAGCCAAGTGGGCACATCTGTGGCTGTGTTCTGATTGCAAAGAGATGGGTCCTGACAGTAGCACACTGCTTTGAAGGGTGAGAGGGCTCAGATGGTTTTACTGCTCATAGAAACTTGCCCATGTGAATTACTGAGTCCTCCCTCCTCTACCGAACATGCTGTGGGAGATGGTGACCTCTGCAGCATGATAAATCACAGAGGCCTGGTTTTAAGAGACTAAAAAAGAAAGTAAATGGTATAAACCAGCATCAGATTAGGTTTTCACATGCTTTATTACTCATTGTTGGCTTCTACTGATCAAGGCTGAATTAAGATGCCCTGACTTTCA